GGATGGTCTCGATCTCTTGACCTCGTGATCCACCCGCCTCGGCCTCCCAAAGTGCTGGGATTACAGGCTTGAGCCACTGCGCCCGGCCCTGATGATCTCTTCTAAGAAAAAGGAAAACAGGTGCAGAAGCGGAACATGAGATTGACATGGAACGTGGCCACTGAAGCACAGCATCACACAGAGATAATTAGGCCCCTGGATGTCTGTGGGCCTACTATCTGACAGCGTCAGACCTACCACAAGAGCTTGGAGAAGCGGAGTTTTCTCCTGACTCCTCCAAGGAAGGAGACGTCTCAGTTATTTTGGAAGTCTCCTTCCCTAGCTGACTAAACAGTAAGCGCTTTCCCAGCACTGGCACTGTTGCTCAGCCAAGGCGCCCTCCAGCAGTCCTTATTCAGGCAGGACTGAGGGCTTAAAGCAGCTTGCCTTAGGGTCATTCATTTCACAATGTCACCCCAGGTTCACACTTCCGACCTGAGAGGCATTAGTAAAAGAATTAAGATCACCTGTGATTAACTGAAATTACCTATGAATAGCTGATAACTACCACAGTTATAGTTCTAGTTACTTTCTTCTTCCTTATTGATATGGAAATAGGCTGAGGCTTTTGGCTCCTGCCTCGGCGTTTATGGGATCTCCACCCTACAGATTAGGACTTAAATATATGAATTTTAGGGGGATACAAACACTCAGTTCCTCACAGTTGTAAAACTTAATTATTTTATTTATTTATTTTAAGACATAGTCTTGCTCTGTCGCCTAGGCGGGAGTACAGTGGCGTGAGCTCGGCACTTTGCAACCTCCGTCCCTGGGGTTTAAGCAGTTCTCCCACCTCAGCCTCCCAAGGAGCTGGGATTACAGGCTTGTGCCACCACGCCTGGCTGATTTTTGTATTTTTAGTAGCAACAGGGTTTCACTATATTGGCCAGACTGGTCTTGAACTCCTGACCTTATGATTCACCCACTTCGGCCTCCCAAAGTGCTGGGATTATAGGCTTGAACCACTGTCTCCGGCCTATTTATGTATTTTTTTGTGACAGAGTCTTGCTGTGTCACTCAGGCTGTAGCACAGTGGCATGATCTTGGCCCACTGCAACCTCTATCTCCCAGGTTAAAGTGATTCTCCTGCCTCAGCCTCCAGACTAGCTGAGATTACAGGCGTGTGCTACCATACGAGCCTAATTTTTTTTGTTTTTTTGAGACAGAGTCTCCCTCTGTCACCCATGCTGGAGTGCAGTGATGCACATGATCTTGGCTCACTGCAACCTCCACCTCCTGGGTTCAAGCAGTTTTCCTGCCTCAGCCTCCTGAGTAGATGGGATGACGGGCGGCTAATTTTTGTATTTTTTCAGTAGAGACAGGGTTTCATCATGTTGGCCAGGCTGGTCTTGAACACCTGACCTCGTGATCTACCCACCTTGGCCTCCCAAGGTGCTGGGATTACAGGCGTGAGCCACTGTGCTTGACCTTTTTGGTATTTTTAGTAGAGGTGAGGTTTCACCATGTCGGTCAGGCTGGTCTTGAATTCCTGATGTTGTATTTGACCGAATGTAGAAAGTTATCACAAGACAAAAGTATGCCAGATTGTAGGGTCATTTATTATGCCGGCGACCACAGAGGACTCACGTCTCTCCAACCTGTGGTGGCAACAGGAGGGTGCCACGATTTTTTATACCCGAAAAACCACCTTGGGAGTGGGGGTGAGGGGCGGGGATGGGGATGAAAAGGCTTCAGACATTCTGAGGGCTAGTGGATTCTG